GGTAAATGCGGCGCCCGCTCAGCCAATGGGAGAGCGCGGTTTCAATCCCTCATTTGCATACGGCCGCTATAAAAGCGGCGCCGCCCGCGCGGCTCCTTCACTCGTTCCTGTTCCTTCCCTGAGGCTCCAGCGATGCCCGAACCGGCCAAATCTGCTCCTGCCCCTAAAAAGGGCTCTAAAAAAGCCGTGACCAAGACCCAGAAGAAAGGAGACAAGAAGCGGCGCCGCAGCCGCAAGGAGAGTTATTCCATCTACGTCTACAAGGTGTTGAAGCAGGTTCACCCGGACACCGGCATCTCCTCCAAGGCCATGGGCATCATGAATTCCTTCGTCAACGACATCTTCGAGCGCATCGCGGGGGAGGCTTCTCGCCTGGCTCACTACAACAAACGCTCCACCATCACCTCCCGGGAGATCCAGACGGCGGTGCGGCTGCTCCTGCCCGGAGAACTGGCCAAACACGCCGTTTCCGAGGGCACCAAGGCGGTCACCAAATACACCAGCTCCAAATAAAAAAGCTCCAAGTAAAAAAACCCGCAGGAAAAACCCCGCTCAACCCAACCCCCAAACGGCTCTTTTCAGAGCCACCTCCTTCTCTCCCCAAAGGGACTGAAATCGCTGCGGAAAGACCCTTTTTTTCGGGTCTTTTTGAGGATCGTCGCGGTTTGTAGGTGGTGGAGGAAGGGCGGGGGGATTAAAAAGGTCGATTTTAGGGCGGTTCTTTGTATTTATTCCACTAAAATCCACCGAGTTTTGAGTCCGTTTCTTCCTGCGCCGCCGCTGCCCCATTCAAACCGTTGCTGGGCTCTGATTGGTCCGGGTGAGGGTGACGTCACGGCGGTGGAGGAGAGGCGCGGGTTTCACTCCGGTCCGACCCGGGACTATATAAACCCTGCGGGGGGGTGGGGGAGCCAGTTCAGGATGAGACCCTCGGCGGGGGGGTGGGTGAGCCAGTTCAGGATGAGACCCTGGGCGCTTTGAACGGGGTGTGTTTTTGTTTCTAGTGTGGGGGGTTATGTGGGGATTTTACGGAGGAGTTTGGGTGGGAAGGACCTTAAAGGTCATCCAATCCCACCCCCTGCATGGGCAGGGACACCTCCCAGCAGCCCAGGCTGCTCCAAGCCCCATCCAACCTGCCCTTCAACACCCCCA